ATGATAGAGCGCACCACGCTCCTTGCGTGGATAATCCAAAAACGCTGACGTAATTGGTTCACTACCATCTCTGTGTTGCAGTGTGCAGCTTTTTCATGGTACGACAAAACTAATAGACGGACAGCTGGGTGTTTTCCATCAAGAATAATTGGGTTAACTTTTTCTGTATCTGCTACTGCAGCCGTCCGGTCGGATAACCTGACCAAGTTATCATTTCCAAGGAATACTACAAATTTGGAGAGGCGACTTTGAGCTGGTACTGGTTTTCCTGCCCGGAGACACACTACATCGTTCTTAAAGCAATCCATCTGACTTCGCCGGAATATATGTACCTCTGCTAACCGTATATCATCTGCTGTAAGACCTTTCGATATTGAGGCATTATCGCCAGGGCCGAAGTCTGAAGTAAACGTTAGTAATTTGCCGCGAACTAACTGAAAGTTGTTTATTGTAAGCCCCCGTTTTCTAAGACAATGCAGTCTGAGCAAAGTGACATATTGGTGAGCTCGAGCCGTTGCACGTACCAATCTTAGCCATGAACTAAAGCGAGATGGGTTAGCGGACAAAGGCAAGTGCAACTGAGACTCATTATTGTGGTAGATGGCAGCGTGATCATGAAATGAGTTATTATCGAATGGAACGATGTTATGTACACGGGATGATGCATTTAACCGTGCGGCTGGCTTTAGCTCTAATGAAATTGATGCTCTAATATTTGATGGTTCTATGGGCCATTCTGATGATAAAAGGAACTGTGGTCCGCATACCCAGCGAGAGTTTGCAGTAAGCTCACCACGTTTGATGCGCGTAGCATCATCCGCAACATTTAAGTCTGAGGGCACCCAACGCCATTCCGATGTGTCGGTGAGCTCACAAATCTCACCTATACGATGTGCAACGAATGGTTTGAATGACCTCGCATCGCTACGTAGCCAACCTAAGACGTTGAGAGAATCACACCAAAAGAAACGCTTTGATGGCACGTAACGGTGCGATTCACAAATGGATGAGGCGAGACGAGCTGCTAAGAGCGCTCCTTGAAGCTCTAAGCGTGGGATGGAAATGGGCTTCAGAGGAGCCACTCGCGCTTTACTACAGATAAGAGTGAGCTTCACGTTTCCTTCAGCATCTATAAACCGCCAATAGGCAACAGCAACGTAGGCCAGCTCGCTGGCATCGGAAAATACGTGTAGCTCACAATTATGGAATTTGCTTCCCTTATTATGATAGAAACGTTGGATGTGGAGGCTTGAAACTGAATTAAGGTTGTCAAACCACCAGCTCCAAGCATTTCTTTCAACTTCAGGTAGTTCTTCGTCCCAGTCATAACCCTTGCGCCATATGTTTTGAAACATTATACGACCGGGAACAACCACTGGCGCAAGAATTCCGAGAGGGTCGTAGACGCGCATAATGTAGGACAGTAATTTGCGTTTAGTTAAACTGTCTTGACAAACGGATCTGTCTGATACACTAGGGCTGAATGTAATGACGTCACTTGCCGGTTGCCATATCAATCCTAACGTACGGCTTGACGTTGGAAAATCACCTAACGCAATATCTGCAACCGAGGAACTAAGCAAGAGGTCCCTGGGCAGCTGTGCTAATGCTTTTGACTCATTGGATACCCAGCCCCGCATTTCAAATCCCGCGCACTTGTGAATAGTAACCACGTCAATAGCCAACTGAGCCGCTTTTTCAACTGAATCTACACTTCCTATGTAATCGTCCTTGTAATGATCTTCTAATATCGCTGTCGCCGCATCAGGGTACAAATCCCTGCTTTCCTCCGCATTTTTATCTTTGACAAACAGAGCAGAACAGGGGCTGGAAGCGGCGCCAAAAATCATGGACGACATACGGTATGTTTTTATGGGCTCGTTAGGGTTGTCACGCCAAAGAAATCGTAGTGCGTCACGGTCTTCAACCCTTATTTTAACCTGAGGGAACATCTCGCGGATATCGGCGGTCATAGCTACCTCTCGCTCGCGAAAACGAAAAAGGATGCCAAGAAGAGATCGCAAAAGGTCAGGACCAGGCAGCAATAACGAATTCAAGCTGACGCCTTGAACTTTCGCAGCGGCATCATGTACTATTCTTAACTTACCTGGTTTATTTGCGTTGGTCACCCCAAAATGTGGAAGGTACCAGAGAGTCCCCACCGGTGAGCTCTGACACTCTTCTGCGTAACCCTTTTGAATCATGGCATGTACATTCTCGCGATATAATTGAGCGTAATCCTGATCTCTTGTCATTTTTTTCTCTAAGCTTAAAAACCGAGATAACGCGAGAGGGTAACTGTTAGGGACCCTTGGAACGTTTTGACGCCACAAAAGACCGACTTCAAAACGACCCGAAGGTAACCTGTGAGTCGTATCAGATAGGATCTTTAACGCATGCTCATCGTCCGCACTTCGAACCTCGCGCTTCGTAATACCTATTGATTCTAATCGATACTGTTCTTTAATTATTGATTCAAGAGATACATCACTATGACACTGTACATCCCTAGTGTTGTTAATAAACTCAACAGGATTGGTTCTATTAGAAGTAAACCCGAAAAGCACCCACCCTAGGTTCGTATCGATAGCTACTGGTTGCGATTTGGAACCCTTTCGAGTAGCCTTAGCTAAAGTCAAGTGCCAATTATCGATGCCTATGATAATACTTGGTTTTGCGTTCTCATAAGACAAAACGTCGATTAAGTCATTCAAATGATTTAATTTGGCGATCTCATCCCTACTAATAACAGACTGACTCTTAATACCTAAATCTTTGATCGAACGCGCTCTACGAATAAGATAAGTTTCAGACCCGTATTTGCCCTTAATGTTAAAATCTACATACTCTACTGATGTTTCTTTAGACAAGCCGCCTACACAATCGAGTCGAACCTGAGCCTTAGGTCCACTAACACCTATTTGAGATGATACATCGGAATCAATAAAGGTAGACGTCGCCCCATCGTCCAGTAAAGCAAACGTATCGTAGCTACCTAACGGACCTGATACTGTCACCGCGACAACCTTTAGGAGTGGTGAGAAAGTGGCAGGTACATGCATTGGTTGCGAACCACTAGTAGTAGCGGAGGCATGTGCAACCACGTCTGCGTTTTGTATATCGCTCGACCCTAAACCGGCTACTTCATGCTCATTCGACGAACTATCATTTTCATCAACATCTACATGGGCTGCCGAGTTTCGCTCTATATTCGAGTCATGTAGCAACAAATGATGACGGTAAGTACAACCATCAACTTTACATAAATCTTTAGCTTTACAGAATTTTATTCTATGCCAACCTTTTTTCAAACATCGATGACATACTTTTTTACTTTTCACAAAGTGCCATCTGTCAGGAATAGACAATCCTTCAAATTTGACACACTCTGAAATTTCATGACATTTGTCACAAAATAAACAAATTATTTTATTTGATTTTTGAGAAATTTTATCGCAAGTGATTTTACGAGGTTTCTCCGGAATGAAATGCTTTACATTTTCAGAGACTGCGTTCACCCTGTCACGAAATTTCCTAGTGTCTACTGCATGACTGCAAGTAGGAACTGCAGACTCGGGCAACCCATACCTGACCTGCAAATCTACCTCACGTGCTAGGAAATCCGCGAACATTACAAGGCGCTTCACACCATAACGCTCGTGTAAAGCAGCATAATCATGCCATCGTGGTCGCAAAAGAGCAGGAAGTTTGGACAGCATCGCGTTAAATAACTCGGGCGAAGTCAAGTAATCCGTTTGATCTAGAAGTCCTATAACTTCCACGCAGTTGCGAACACGACAAGCGAAAGAAACAAAATCTTTACCTTCGGCGCTCACTTTAGATAGTGAGCGCATGACCGCAATTTCTTGAAGTACAATTGTTTCGGCGCGTCCAAATCTCATATCAAGCACACGCAGCACGTCGGCAGGCACGCGCGCTGATACCAATACCACGCTTACAGCTTCGCGCGCTGCGCCACGTAGTGCAAAGCTAATACGCGCTAAGTTCTCAGCGTGTGTATATGAGGCCTCGGTGTCAATAAAGGCCCGCCTAAATCCTAAATATTCGACGGACGATTTACCATCGAAATACGGTAAATTTATATTCGAGTTTTTAGGAGTTTTATTAAAATTACTAAATACACGATCTAATGCCGAAGTAAACGACGATACTAGCTGCGTCACGTTGTCGCCGCTCGCAGGCACTGCATGCGAAGTTTCCCTGGCGCCGACCGTAACGGGGGCCGCGCTTGCAGCCGCTGCCGTTCCTGGCGCTACGAACGGGGCGGAGGCCACATCTGTGGCTCCATCCGCTCCCACTGGTACTTCTGCAAACTTCTGAGGCGCTGTGATCTGCACATGAGAAGAAGTGTTGTTAGATTGGCTGAGATTTTTACAGAGAGTCAACCCGATAGTGGGCGATGTCTCTCTGTGTACATCGTCGAGCCAACTGGTTACACGTTGCTCCTTGTGTACGTCACTACAACTGGTGTGACTGCGACGACTGTAGCGACTACTATGACGACTACCACGCTGACTACTCTCCGCCTCTATCGCGGCGAGTTGGGCGCGGTGTTCTAGCTCCGCTGTTTCTCGGGCCAGCTGCGCTTCACGCTCTCGCAACTCTAGATCAGCTAGACGTCGCGCATGCTGTGCCTCTACGAGTAAAAGTTTAGCTCTTACCGTGGCTGATGAACTTGTCGACCTGGATGAATTAGTACCTGGAGGACGTGACGGTGGGGGTGGTAGCGGCGATGCGCCCGACGTACTAGCACCCGCGGCATCGACGGCCATCTCGACCTCTGACTTTGTTACCTTATCATCAACTTTTTTCATCCTTCTTGTTTCCACGACCATGATTGACTCTTAAAGGACCACTTTATTGAGAATTCTGGAGTACTGAAATTAAAGGCTGCTGGTTCCGTGGAGAATCGGTATATTTGACAAGACATACAGAAAAACAATGACTTCTATCAAAAGTAAAACAAAATATAAAAAACTATAAAAACATAAATAATATCAAAAAGTTTGTGCTTCAGCACAGTCCTGTTGACCCAATTGAACACCAACTTTAGAAGCTAGGGTCATGACGATGTGTTGAAGACTCTCCACCCGCTGTTCCGGCACGCAAGTGACCTCGATATCATTCAAAAGAAGTTCCTGGTCACGCTCATTTAGTTCGGCCTTCAGTGACTCTATCGTGTTGACTAGGGGGGAGCTATGCGCGTAGTCTGAAATGGCATCACACCCACTGCGATTTTCCAGCTGCTCAACGCGAGTACGCAGCTCCTTTACCTCACTCACGCATGTTTCCACCTGCGTCACCAATCCAAATAGTTTTTCGTCGAACGTGAGAACCCGCTGTCGCGTTTCTGACATTTCATTACGAAACGTTCTTATTTCCTCCACCAGCATTTCCAACTTCCCGGAAAGTACCTCAAGAGTTTTATGTGAAGATGATTCAGGCGCTTCTACGGGGCTGCTACCCTCCACAGGACTTACAGCTGATGCTCCTCGACGACGTGTAACTTTATCATCATCATGTGCACGTGCTGGTGTGTCGCTGTTATTACTTTTAGGTTCGCGGCTCCTGCACTCGTCACATTTCCATTTCTGTCGATGCTCTCCTGTGAGAGTATTGCGAAACCGCTGCTCTGACACATTAGCACAGAGCAAATCATAACTTTCTCCACAACTGCAGCAACATAAAAATTGCCTACTTTTGATTGCTTGCAGACAGCCAGCACAATTTTTCGTAGGCATTGTTCGACTTCCTTTCTTTTAAAGCAAGTAAATTGAAAAAAATATATATATATATATGCATTTAGAATAAAAAAGTTTAGGATGAGTTTCATAAAAAAATATATATATAGATTTAAAGAAAAAAAAACTAATCAGGCTGGTGGGATCGAACTCCGGCACCTTAGTTTTCACAGACAACTCTTTCCAAGCCGCCGCTTGGAACGACTGTTATATGGCGAATTTATAAAGCACTAGTGTATGTGCGTACTCAGTGCACACTGATCAGTGACTGTTGAGCTGCTGTTGAGTGTCAAAGACTCCGTCCAAGTAATAACGATCACCGGCAAAATTTTTATAAAAACACTGATTTTATCACAACCACTGCACTGTTTGTATTGATCTATGCACCAAAACTCAGAGAATAACTTGGTCTTCAGATTGTTATAGGTTTCAAGGAAGAATGCTTATTATGGTATTTTTGAATCAATCGGAAGCACGGAACGTGAACAAACGCGTCAGAGCACAACAACCGCGCCCCGCGCACCCCCGCACGCGATATGCTTTCGCCCTGTCTTTTCGAACAGTTTTTCTCCCTCCATGTCTTCTCTCTGGAGGTACTGCGGGTAAGTCGTCATCTTATTCTGGCGGCGTATTACTTATTAAATTTGCTAAACCTTTCTTCTTGTCTCTATATTTTTTGGAGGCTTTCTTCCAATCTTTTCTCTGCTTTCGCTTCTCTCGTTCGGTCATATCACTAATTTTCTTCACTTTATTTTCTTCCTTTTTCTTTTTATAATATTCTCTGTCCTTAGCCCGTTTAATTTCTTTCTGCTGTTCAGTCATCTTATCCAAAAACTTTCTTTTCCTAGCATTTGCCTTTTCTCTTTGGCGCAAATAAGCGGCACTATCCTTTTTAAGCTGTTTTCGAGTTCTTTTTTTTTTTTCTTTATCGAGAGTCTCCATCACGCTGTAATAATAAAAAAAAACAAATTTGTAGAATTATTTAATGAGAAAATGTAAGAGAATCGACCTTAGAAACAATAATGATCATCCCAAGAACGCAACAGTCATTTAGGGAACGTGTCATCATGTCCGAGAACGTTTCCAAAATGACCGTTCTCGAAATGACGATTTCAAATAAGCGCGCACTTGTATTATTGAGCAGCCATCTTAAATGCGACCTGACTTTGTCACTAGCAATAAATTTGAGGTTACTTTATTATTCCTAGTCGTGAAAAAGAATCACATCAATAATTAAATATAAAAAACATGTTCTCGAATTGACGGACTATTGATGTACGCTCTACAAATAACGAATTGAAAGGTACTTACCACTTAGATATTAATTTATTTGCCGATAAATATACTGACAGCCGGATTTGTTGTTGTTTGCTTGCTCTACTGACGGATGACACAGAATAGCTGCGTTCACTTAAAACTATTTGTGTTCAGTTATGGATGCGTTCACTGAAATGACTTATAGACTACCGGACAAACTATTTTTGCGTTTAAATAATTTAAAAAAAGATCTTCCGGTATCCTTTTCGAAACTAGATTTTGTATAAAAAAAAATGATATATCAAGTAATGACCGGAGTTGAATACCTTTAATTTTTCATTTAGTATTTTGGACTTGTTGTTAAAGATATTGCATTAGGACGCGTTCCCGAACTGACTTTCTCTGCATTTGTATTGATTTAATTAAATATTTACTTCTTTAAAAAATTGTATTATTTGATGTACACACAGAACAGGTTAGTTGTAGTTTTTTAATATGTTTATTTTTTCAATAAAGTAAAGATCTAAGATAAAAATTGCTGGCAAAATCAATTCTGCACCTTGGTGATTTTGAGCCATAAATAGTCGTTAGAAATGCTGCTCAAAGTAACTTTACCGCGCGGACGAAGTCGCGAGCAAAAGCTAGTAAACAATAAGTCTGTGAAACTCTTGAAACTACAGTTTATCATAGAGACTTTTGTCACAAAACTATGAAGATAGAGTTGTTTTATGAAAAATCAGAAAAAGCTTATTACTCTTTATCATATTCTGTAAATCTTATTCTTACTTACGAAGGAAATTATGAACAAACAAACTTAAATTGAAATAGAGAAAAACAACCAAGCTAGATTTCTCCAATAGTTGAGGTTACATATTCATAAATATATACAAAGCACTCCTTTTTATTCAGAAGTTGCTGAAGCGAACGCAGGATATCGTCAGCTTTTTTAAATATACACAGAAGGCGGTCTACAAGAATTATACGTTGGAGACTAAAATAATGACAACTGAAAATTAAATGATCAAGTGTTTGTACAGTAAGGTTGCAAAATTCACATGTTGATGGTGATATCCCTCCGGCCACTGCAGGCCTGGCATCTTCGGGCAAACGGGCTAGAAAAATGGATTTTCAAGATGAAAATTCGAGTACATACAGCGGCGGCGGTGAGAAAAGTCTGAACTTTTTTCCATATTCTAAACCAAACTATGAGACACTCTATCCTGAAAATTCCTCAAACTATGAATTTAAAGTTTTTATAGAAAGTAATAATAAAGAACGTTTGGGCAATAAGAGTCCTATTTATCTACCTAACACCATATCTACCTAACACCATATCGAACAGGACCTCACCAAAATGGAACACACGTCTAGGTATATTAGCTACCACATCAGAAGGACAATAAAGCGAAGTCCCATAATTATTTGTCAATGTAACAGGATTATTTGCCCTCCACTGAGCTGATGGCACAGGTGATCAATCGAGCTATCTCACACGCTTCCGATACTGGCGGTGATCACCATCCTGACCCAGCATGGGATAGGGATCATTGATACTGATATTTCACCGAACCGTACATTCAATGGCGGACAACACCCACGATATTAACAAATAAATGGAACAACCCAATACTGCGACTTCTTATAAAACTATGAGAACCTAAGAATAATATTAGTATGAACAGTCTCTAAAGAGCCCAAATAAGAAAAAAAAGTCAAACATAAATATTTTCATTCCAATCTGGACCGATCGAAACAGGAGATAAAATTTTAATAATAATTATGAAATTGAATAGATCACCCGACGTCTTGTTTCCTACGAATAATTAATAAATATTATAATAAAAATGTAGATTCAATGCACAGAGCATCGAGTTCTTATTCTCCTTATCTACGGTATAACATACACAATGCCCATTACTTTGCGTGTACTAATTCACAGTCAGCAATTTCATTTATGTCGGGTTAGGAATGTATTATTTGAACAGTGTATAATGTATTTGTGTCTAAAAATAGATAATCCCTACTAATATATGTAAATGCGAAAGTGACTATGTCTGTCTGTCTGTCTGTTACGCTTTCGCGTCTAAACCACTGAACAGATTGTAATGAATTTTGATACAGAGATAGAATTGATCCCGCATATGAACATAGGCGACTTGTTATCCTTACATACGGTTCCTCAAGGACCACACGGTCGAATCCGTCTGCGGAAAGCCAGGAGAATATAAAAGACCTCAAAATACATAATGATAGTGTTTGCACGAATTGCTCAGAGAAACATTAGCCTAATCCTGCCTCCCTACTTTGAATAAGCCTACGTTCCCTAATGGCACTTACTTGTGGCCCAAAGCGGAAGCCCTGGACCCAAAACCTGCCTAAGAGCCAGCTCTGCCTATCCTCAGCTTTCTGTAGCCCACGACGTCCCGAGTTCCGTCTCCGTTGATGTGCCTCTCCCAAAAAAAGTCCCGAATCCGATCCCACGTTCCTTTTTATACCTATCGGTCCCAGAATCCCTCCCCGCTGACTTTAATTACCGATTACAAGTCTCCACCAATCACAAACGAGTTGATTAGATTTCGTTTAGGCGCCAAACCCCGAAACTGTAGTGAATTCCGCTACGAAATATTCTGATATTCTAATAAATTATTTTAATAAAATAATCAACCGCTACTAGAATATACATATTAATTATTTCAATATATCGGGTTGGCACAAAAGTAATGAGACACTTGGTTTAAGTTTTTACTTTTTTATTATTATTACAATTAAAAAAAGTTTAGTCAATGATGTAATTACCATTAGTATTTAAGACTTCTTGCCAACGATCCGGCAAAGTTTGGATGCCTTTTGCCCAGAACTATGATGGCTGTGCCTCGAAAAAGTTGTTCAACTCCGCCTCTACGTCAGAGAAATCATTACATTGTTTACCCCGCAAATGCTGTTTCAGGGCTCTAAACAAATGATAGTCTGATGAGGCGAGGTCTGGGGAATAAGGTAGGTGGGGTATCGTCTCCCAGCCCAAGTTCTCCAACTGCCGGCGAACCACAGATGCGACGTGAGGTCGAGCGTTATCGTGCAGTAAAACTACATTGACTCGTCTTCGTCGTTTTTTCTTGATAGCGGCAGATAATTTGGTAAGCTGGGTTGAATATTTGTCAGCGTTTATAGTTTCATTGTGTAACAGCTCATAAAACAGTATGCCTTGCGCATCCCAGAAACAGCAAAGCAGAATTTTTCGGCGGTTCTTTTGACTCGGCTTCGGTTGAGTTGGTGGCGTTTCTTCTCGAGGCAGCCAAAAAGCACGACATGTATCATTCTCGTAATAAATCCATGATTCATCTCCAGTAACCAGATCTGACAAAAACTCTTTACGTCGGGGTCGCAGCAAAAGTGACTGACAGATAGCGACACGGACTGCACGACTGGCGTCTGTAAGGATGTGCGGTACCCACCGAGCCAAAACTTTTCGATAACCAAGCTCATGCAGATGGTGTTCCACGGCGTGGTGACTGCATTTAAGTGCTTCCGCTAATTCACGAGTGGTAGCATCCGGATTCAACTGCAGTTCGCGGCGCAAATCGTCATCATTCACTGCGGGTGGTCGCCCTGAGCGTGGCTGACTTTCAAGGCTCCTGTCTCCTGATTTAAAACGGTCAAACCATCGGGACACCGTCGCATGGCTTGTACTTCCAGCGCCTGATGCATTGTTGATATTGTCAGCCGCAGCCCGCGCACTGTGGCCTAACAAGTACTCGTATAAGTATAGTGTTCGAACTTGTCGCTCGTCCATTTTTCTTCAAACTGACTAAACAAATCGCGAGCGCGGCTTTATATACCCTACACCAGAAGTACCTAGAATGTTCTACAACATTCTAGAATATTATCGAAAAAATTGATTTTAAAAAGGAAATGTTATAGATTTTTCTAGTGTGTCTCATTACTTTTGTGCCAACCCAATATTTAATATTCCTTTCTGATAGCATTTTCATCAATTAATCTATATAACAAAACTTGATATTTCAATCATAACCTATCAATGCCCGTAATCATGACTTGGCAACAGGAATCTTGGTATACTATTTAAATACTAAGTAAAGTTTGTTGTTCATTTTATTAACATCTTACGTCTTTTAAACACATACAAGTAATATAGATGGCCCCAGAAATAAATATATGACAATATCTTATTATTTAATAAGTATTTTATAAAGTTACAATTCGTTACAAAATTCCTAGATTTGACCGGAGAGATCTTTTATGCAATGGACATTTTATGTAATTTAAGTTGTGTAATCCTATATAACAAGATTAATGATAGATTTCATTATGATATTGTTCAAGAGTAAAAATCTAAATTTAGACCCTGATATAAACAAAATAACTTATTGTTAGATTCTATACAGATTAATATAATTTAGTCTAATCTGTTCTATTACAGTGTTTATTAAGTTGAACAATAGTAGGATTGGTATAAAACGATCCCCAAATTTATTCGATAAATGATATAATTGTATCCTGATGTTTGGCAGATCCATGAGAAGAATAATATGGGATTTCCATCACTTAAAGTGAAGCACAGTTTCGATTCAGGCACTTTCTTTGCTATTCTGATGTTGATGTCAAGATATTTAGTTTCCTATAGCTAAGTATATTATTTATTTATTAAGGTAGTTGTTAGTTTTGCATGTTTCTCTTTTTAAGAACTGAAATTTATTTTCTAAGGATTCCCTATATTTCTTTGTCAGACGTGGCGCCATCTAGTATCAATTACTGGAACTAGTTAGAGATTACCCTTTAGAATATCTACTTATCAGTTTTAATTATGCGAATAGTATAGCATGGTCGATAGATGGAGTGTTACTTTATTTCTGAATGTTCAGTCGTTCCAAAACCTAAAGTAAACTTTGTCTTTTCAAATTTGTTTTCTTTTTATTTATTTAAATTAATGGTGACATATTTATTATATACGTGTATATTGCGAAGTGTTCCGTTACATTCTGTATCTGTATGGACATACAGCCATGAGCCGATCAAACAAGTCAACCCCACTCATTTTCTGATTGTTGTAGGCTTACCTGGGCAGTACTGCTTGATAGCACAGGACCTAGTAAATGGTATTATCATTTCATCTAAAGATAGACACTGCTCTTTTTCTTGCCTTTGACATCCAGCCAGTACGCGATCAATCAAAGGGCGCATTTTCGGTAATTTATCTTTAGCTCTCATCTCAGATGTGTTATCGGGGTCAAAAACAACTTTAAAAAGTTTCTCAGCAAAAAAAATCGGTTCCGGGACATATTATCTGCGATAAACTGTACTCTCCATTTCTTTTCCCAATACATTCTTAAATTTGGGTAATTGACAGATGCCATCACATATGTAATGCCTAAATAGATGTATAATTCATCCGCAGTCAAATAGAAACTGCGACCATTTTTTTCAATGGCATTCTGATTTGTACATCTTACTATGAGATCAATTAACTCGTCATTTATGTACTGCTTTAGGTAATCTACTTTAGTGTCAGTCATTAAATATGTTGGCAGAACCATTTCGGGAAATTTCGGATCGAAATTCTTTACAGTCCAATTACTTGCAGAAACCGTTGCACTAGTGGAAGGAGAGTATCCATCTTGATTTGCGTCTTGTCCTCTGGCTCTGCCGCCTCTTCTCATTCCACGACCGCGACTAAGTCTAGCTATACTGCCCCTTGCAAATCGTGGCCTTCCTCTACCTCTTCCACGTCCTCTACCGCGGCTCACAGGTTCTGCATCTTGTGTCACCTTCAGTGTCTGAACTGAGATCTGAACTATCATCACTGTTGTAATATTCTCTGAACTCTGGGTCGCCAACATCTTCATCCGAAGGTATGAAGTCTTCTACTTTAGATTGATTTAGTAATTCTTCTATTTGATCATCCAAAAGAGCTGAACACAAAAAAAAAATTAGTAACACATAGTAAACAGTAACGCCCAATGTACAAAACAATGAACATATTTTTTAACCTCATACTAAACAGTAACGCTTAATGTGCATCAGAATATACATACATTTTTGATACATGATACAATATAGAATCCAGAGTGACTGGCTCAAAATTATAAGTTATCCTGAAAGTGTATACATTAATCACTAAACTAAGTAAATTTTTTTATAAAAAGGAAGCATAAGATTTCATGAATTATTTGAGATTTGGACTTACGCGTCTGCTGAGT